AGATTACTCCTTACTTTTAGCGCGAAATTTCAGCGTTAATTTAAAATTTCAGTTGTGAAATTACATAATTTGTCATGGCAACGTTCCGTACGTCTCAGGGGTGGCAAGATGGCGCGGAAAATTCAAAATGTTATGAATGATGATGATGATACGAAAGAACACATCAAGAACTATTCTAACAGGTGCGTGGAGTTCTCGATAAGATAAATAAGATATGCCGCAAAAAATCACTCTTCCTAAGCTAACTTAATTAGTCAATAGGGCTATGGATACTTTTGACCACATCTAGTGAGGACGTCACATTTACACCCAGAAGGACAAGTAAGGATGCCACGCAGCACTATTCTCTACAAGAACAAATAATTAACAATTATTGGAGGAGATAGAGAAAAGATAATATGTGTTTCGTCAGTTACGAGCAAATCAATTATTGGTCTATGCTAAGGGCCATTCGATCAAGCTTGTTTTTGATCCTGACGCCAAAAACCAAGTTAAGGCATGCGCAGTCAACTTTTTCCTCCTTGATTTATCCGCTCTTCCCAGCCCTCTGGCGGTTGAAGTGTGAGCAGAAAGTTCGCTCAATTGCTTTTAACTTGGCTCTGTGACCTTACTAGTAGTAGACAATACGTTTGGCTGATCAGGTCAGGACAATTATAGGTTACTCAATAAATCTAACATAACGACTCACCTTGTGTTGAGTATCTATCATCATCACGAACTCTTTGCTATCGGGAGTAAGTTTTGACTGATAATTCCAAAATTAACCAGCTCCAACAATGGCACTGGGCCAAATCTGAAAGTTCATTGTCTCATTAGCATATATCGAAGTGTCCCAGTATAATTCCTCAATCAGGTCATCCCGACCTAAATTTTCCTACATTTACGTAACCCCGATGGTTACCCCTATCCCGTGCTATTTTTCAATCCCGAACCTCGCCCCCTTTTAGTTTTAAAATCCCAAGTCCCAGCCTTCAAACTAAGAAAACTCCCGCATCCCGAAAAACCTATTAAAGACCATCTGTATCAAGGCCTGATTCCAAGGGACGGGCTCGCCAGGTTTGCTGCGCTGGCTCTCTTTAGCAAGTTCGATTAACTGTATTCCGGAATAATAATACATTGAATTAACTCTTCAAATCTCTTGTTTTAGTTTTCATTGGATGGTTAAATCTAGAAATCTGGTGGACACTTAATTCACTTAATAACTGGGTGTATTATTTTCTGTTCATTTTATCGACAACTGGCTGACAAAATTAGTGGAGACATAGTTTGTTCTAAAGTACCTCTCTAGCGTTTTACTGCCTGGAACTTATAAGTGGGGGGGAGGGGGCTTATATTTGCGGGGGCTAATAACCGGGTGTATTTTTTTTGTGTACAAGTAAATGGGCCTGTAACTGGGGGAACTTGTAAGTGGGGGGAGAGGGGGCTTATATCCGGGAGGGGGGAATTATAACTGGGTGTATTGTTTTGTTTACAGGTAAATGGGCCTGTAACTTGGGGAACTTATAAGTGGGGGGGGGGGGGGGGTGTCTCTGTTATGGTGGGAATACGCTGGCACGCAGTGAAAGGGGTCTAGCCTCAAGGACGACCGGACCTGTGAAAAAAATAGCTGAGGGAGTTATGGGTGCAGTAGGATAGTCAATGGTGGGGATCTGAGAGATAAACGAACGACAGATGAAAGGGGGGGTGGGGGGGACTCATAAGAGGAATTTTCATGTATTTACAACTAGAGATACTTACAATTCCACTCACTGACTCAGTATACTGTGAATCGCTCTCGGGTCCAAACATCCACCATGCGTCAGGTTTTCCTCGTGTGTACAGAAAACACTGATCTACAAAGCAGTAATCATCAGTCCACACGGCCATCTCACCACTCAGAACAAATGTCATCTCATCTGGATTTAACTTGAAAATAATGTAAACAGACAGATCAAAAGATATATTAATTAAAGGGGTTTTTTTCGCACTATTTGCTATCCTTTAAGCTAAAACGTGTCTTTCTACTAATTGAATTCCAACGATTAATGGTCTGGCTTTGTAATTTACTATTCACTGACTATTTTTCCTTTCGTCTGTTACTACTGTCTAATAATACATGGGATTAACTCTTCAAATCTCTTGTTTTAGTTTTCATTAGATGGTAAAATCCAGAAATGTGGTGGAGACTTAATTCTGTGCACATTACAAACAGCAATGCGCACCGTTTCCTGTTCATTTTAACGACAATGGCTGACAAAATTAGTTGAGATAGTTTGTTCCAAAGGGCCTTTCCATGGCGTTTTGCGGCCTGGAACTTATCACCAAGGATAGAAATGGATTGAAACTTGAAAAAGTTAGGCCAACTTAAATACGATTCCTGCAAAAGTCACTTGTCAGTTATTTCCATTCAGATCTTTTGTACCGCATATACTATCAAAAGATTTCAAGGGTCAATGGATTATTTTGAAGATTCACTCATGTTCGTCTTCCTATTTCATTAGGGGGTTTAAGCAAAGGCGTTCTTGGACGACGCAATGTCAACCAGAAGTGAGCCTTTTCTCTTTTAATATGCCTTGAAGCTGCTAAATTTGTATTGCTACGTGTCTTTACTCTTATAGAGACCATTTGTCTGAAAATTTGCAAATTCGTCCCTAGGGTCTTCTCGTTTTCAAAACCAAGAAGCCCCTGGGGACGAGATCGAACTAAAATGAAAACTTTTATTATAAATGGTAGTTACCCCGGCTGAAATGTTAGTCCATAGTGCACTAAAATCCACAAGGCTACGTAGGTAAAAATTGCCGCTGAGAAAGTTGATCCTGTCAAATTGAAAAACAAGATGGAAATGAATAATAATATAGACGAACCTCTCCGACGCAGATGGATTAATTAACATAATTAAGGGTCGGTAAAACGCCAAATATGTTTTTTTTTTCTTTTCTAATTAATATTTTGTTACGAGAGAACAACAGAACATAAAACAAACAAACAATGGACAAAGACCCTGAAACCGAGTCGGCGTTTTGGGTACCGCACAGTGAAACTACTAACTGGCTAACTGTTTTCTTTTTGTGGAGTGGAAACTTTGTCCCTCTATCTCCACCTCCAGCAAGCATGACTTTAAAAGTTTAACTTTACGAGTCTTACAAGATCAAAAAATTGTTAATTTGTCAAAATTGATATTATTTATTATACAGTCAAGTTCCTTCCTTGCTTACACTTGAAATCCGCTGTCTGAAAGGGTTTTTACTACTGAGTCTTTCCATGCCTGGTGGAGCACTGTTCCAATGTCGACTAGCTGCCCCTGGGTCTCCGAGGATGGAATTATGTGTGCTTGCGAACGGAATCAAACAATGATTGTTGCATCACCTGCATGTGCATTCACGTGACGAACGTGATATCAGACGGACCTTAAACTCAACACCAGGGTCTTCGCGGTCGCATACCATGCATATTAGTTGGTACAACATGGGCATCCCAAGAATGTGGACAGATTTTGGAAAACCTTTCACATGACGTCACGGCAGCCATGTTGGTGTCCCAAACCAGTCCTCCGGGAGTTGAATTCTTTTCTTATGCAAACGCTTTCTTTTGTTCCAATAAATTTGCATAGACGCTGGCCACGTGAGTGATTACACTTGTCGTTCGCAAATACGTATAAACATAAGAAACAATCCGTACATAAAGTAATGATGAAAAATTTTAAATAATGAGCGAAACCTTAGCAAAAAACACTTCTGATTTGTCCTTTAACTCTCAAAGCACACTAGACTGGAAGTTTGCGGTATTAAAGCTAAATAATGAACACTTTTGCCTTAAAAATAGCTTTTGTAGGAAGAATTGATTACAGCCTGCCATCCACGGCACTGCAGATCTTTTCTTCCTTTGGTGAGGAATATTCCCGAAAATTACGATCTTTCGATAGTTACGACGCAGTAACTTTAACCAAGAGTCTCTTGTTTAAATACATCTGGATCAAGGCGCATTAAGCTCGACCACGTATGAGAGTTGATAAAATTCGGCCTGATCGCAGATTATGGTCAAAGAGAAAAGTTTCTATGTATGTATGTTCTTCCTTTTTCTCCTCCCTAGCCTGCGAGCAAGCTCTCCTATTTGGGCGAGTGAAACGAGTCTCGCGAGAACGCGCGAGCGAGCGGCAAAGCCGCAAGGGGCAGAGGAAAGATTCCTCGTCCCCTCGCTCGCGCGTTCTCGCGAGGCTCGCTTCGCTTGCCTAAATAGGAGAGCTTGCTCGCAGGCTATCTCCTCCCCTCCTACATGTACCCTATAATATACACAGATACCCCTACCTATTCTCCCGTCTCTTGAGTGACTAGACTCAAAGTACGACGGAGCGGGGAGATGACGCTACTGATTTCAAAAAGACCAACAAGGGTGCCACTTGTTTTTAAGGTATTGCTTGTCTCTGCCTTTCACAGGTCATAAGCCCTTGACCCACCTACTTTACTTAGTAAAACGTAAACATGAACAACAAGTCAAATTGCTAAATGAACTGCAACGTGTTCTCTTGCACGCGCGTGCTGTAAGTTCATATTTATTATTTGAACGTTAACGATTAAGATCGGACATTAAAAGAGGTCTAAGAAGTTCGAAATACCAGAGGTAAATATAGCAGTGAGATCATCATTACCAAAATCGTTAGTCACAATCCATTACTGAAATATTTATGTCAATTTAATTAGCCAGCAGGCTATGAGTTTTTAAAATAAATCAGGCTCAAAGTCAAAGAATAAAATATTCTTTATAAAACACTCATCTCTCTGGTGAAAAAAGCAAAACCAGACTCTCAATGTTATCTCAAGCAAAAGTTACTAAAGTAAATAAATTAATTGTTTCATAAATAAATTTAAAGCATTGTGCAGAGTGTGATTGCGTGAATTACAGAACGCCGTCTGATTAATTAAACTGTTTTCGGTTTGCGCTAATATGACCAATCGGCCAATCACGCATGAAGTCTTAAGTATTTAAATAGATTCGACCTTCATTTTTTGACCCAGAAGCTTTATTTTGTCAGCCTCGAGTCAAGCCCATAACTCCGTAAAAATCGCGCGGGTGCCGTAACGTTCTGCCTACGCAAAGAGCTACAAAACTGAATCATCTCTTTCAAGCCGAAGGATTACAGGTAAACATTCTGCTAAATCGAGCTGTTTATTTCGCTATGTGAAGTATTCCGGCACAGCATGCTTTGAATTTACCCATCTTTTCACGGGCTGTTATCGGCCCTTTTGGTCTTCGTTCTCAACTATCAGAGTTGCTTTGTCTATGGCCGAATAAGGTTTTAAAAAGTTGGACTTAGGTTGGAAGGAGCCGTTCATAAAAATATCTTGTTATGGCAAATGATTCTAATTTTCAGAGGAAAACATCAGTTGGGTTAGTATAGCGTGCATTTTCTCGAAATAAAAAAAAAACATTCCTCTTTCTTTCAATTTCGTTTAGTGTCACTCAGTCAAAGTAAACTTGCTAACGTGTCTCTAACCAGACGTTATCTCTCGATATGAACGTAAACTGTATAAATACACAAAAGTATAATGTACATTTGACTTAGAAGGACCATCATAAGTTCTTTTTCACAGATCAAAACTATGTTAACTGTAATTTATACGCCTCTTGACGACATTATTACACAAGAACTCACACAACAGCATCATGTTTAGTATGCACTATTCTCTAGTTATCTTTTCAGTAATTCACAGATTGAGTAAGCTCAGTAAGACTCTCCGCTCATCGGTGACCAGTTGGAAGTCAGTTAAAGGAGTAACTACGTGCTTTGTTTACAAAATGTCAACACTAGTTAAAGTGTATTTTCAGCAAAGAGTTTTATTCTAATACGTCACGACGTCAATGTTTGAAATTTTCAGTGCCAGAACTTTGTAAAGGAACATAAAACCTCGGAAAACTCAGCTTAGATAGAATTTTAATTTTCGTTTGAATGGCGAGTATCCGCCTTATGGGTGACCTCTGTCGAGACTACGCACCTTACAATTCTCAAGTACTTTTGGACAGTAATTACACGCTATTTTTTCTGCACATGAGAACAAGCTATCACTCTAGCATACAGTAAACACTTGAATAAAGAGCACCCCTTGGAAAGCTTACAGTCACGTCCGGAGATTAAGTTTGGCTGGCATCATAAGAATGTAATTTTCCACGAAAAATAAGTAGGCACTAAGCTTCAATATTTAAATTTTTTTCTAGAATTTTTGACATATTTTTTATTATTGACTCAAGATTAAATTTACTCCATACTTGTCGTCGGAAAAACTGGTTGACGGATTTCGTCTGATTTCGCCGGGACCAAAGGTTAACTAATCAATCGATCGAATATCCGGCGATAGTTTTAATGCCCTAACACATGGATATCTTGTTAAAAACTGATGCGCGCAAAACAAAGGAAAACGTTTTTTTTTTCAGAAGGACTGGGCATGCTCACATGTGCGTTAGATACAAATGCCATGGTCGCCATACGAGTTATTTTTTTCTTTTTTAGCATTATTATTATGACCAAAGCATTATTATATCTAAAGCAGTGTTAAAAAATATATGATCTCCCAGCGGTTTTTATCTTGCCACCTACACATCGCCGGGAAATTGGAAAATCTCACAATTAAAGTTAATTAAGGTCCATAAAGTCAAAAGAGCAAGTTCTCCTTCACAAATTGTCCTTATTAGACATGGAAAATTTGTCCTCATTGATGGGATGTAAGGTTTATAAACACCGGCAGGCGGTGTCGCAATGGTCCATGGGAAGTGGAACCAGATTCAATACTTCCCCTGATCACCCACTGTCGGGAGCCCATGACCCTGCCCCTGGGGAGCTTGGGGAGCTTGGACACTAAGCTTAGAATTGTAACGGAGCCTTCTCGTTTAGTTTCCAATCCTTCCTTAACCGTTCGTATGCAATCAGTTCAGCTGGCCGCAGAGGTTCTTGAGGGTTAAGCCCTGAGAATAGTGATTAGGGTTAAGGACTGATCAATACTGATAAGGGTTAGCACTGAGAATAGTGATTAGGGTGAAGCACTGACTCGATAAACGGTTAGCTTCTATTTGGGGTTAGGGTTGTTGCTATATATCTTCAAATCAAACCATCAATCGTCAGCAAATCCTCAGTGGTGTAATGGAATGGGAGATGGACTGCAGATTCTACGCTTCGGGTTCGAGTCCTACTCGCGCCCTTCTAATTTTTTCCCTAAAAAATTGAAAATACTTAGACCCTGTACTTAGAATTTCATGTGGGAAAAGGGAAACGGCTCAGAATGTCTTGTGAGAGGGAAATGTCAGTTTGGAGTATGGAGATGAGTGCTCCCCAAGAAAGTGATCCCCAAAAAAATTTTCGCGTGGCGGTGACGCAGGTGGATTGGTCCCCAAGTCCCCGATCGTGTCCCACAGTTGTCTAAATAGCAGATAACGCTATCCACTGGATAAATTTCTATCCAGTGGATAACGCAATTGGTTTTCCTAATCCGCTGGAGAGCAATTTATCCGGTGAATAGTGCTATCCAACGTTTGACCACCCGGGCAGGTAGAAACTGGTCTTAAGATTTGTTTTTGGAATGAGTGATGCAGTTCTCTTGCCCTTTATGCAAGGTCCATGGATACGACCAATGAAAATCTAAGATTTCTTTATGTCCCGCTTCCCCCGAACCCCTAACTAAAAAAGTAAATCTAAAAATTAAAAAAATCAAAAGGAAAAACAACAATATCTGAACAAAACTTAAGATTTCTTACCTGCTTTCAAATAAAAGAAAAAAAGGAAAAAACAAATGTTTCCGGCCAGGATTGAACTGGCGACCTTCCGCGTGTTAGGCGGACGTGATAACCACTACACTACGGAAACTGCTACGACAATTTATGAAAAGTTAGAGATGTCTTACCGTGGGGCACGAAATTTTCGCGGGTTCTAATTTTTGCGGTTTTTCCAACGATCCGCAAAAATAAGTTCCCGTATATAAGAATTCCCGCAGACATTTTTTCCAGAAAAATTTACTCCAGAGTAAATATCAGAAATATTCTCTAACTTAAATTCGCTACACAATAAGACAGTACTAAGAAATCGTGTCTGTTCAATCACAGCTTGTCTCTTTCATTCGGAAACAACGAAATACTGGTTTATTGCTTGAAAATATGTATTTCTATTGCACGTACTCAATAAAAACGAAAATGCTGGGTACTGGGTACTTTCTGAAATTCGCAAAAATTAATTCCCAGCATGTAAAACCAGTCTGTCCCAATCACAAAAAATAGTTTCCGCAAAACACAAAAAATCGCCAATCCGCAAAAATTTCCTTCCACACGATATACACCTAATTGCAATAACGTTGTCTTAGAAAAATGACAAAAGGAAAAAGCCAAATAGATCGTTTTCACTGTCACGCAACAAAAAAATACATTGGAAACCGTCCAGTGGAAGAAGCCAAGAAAATGAAATGTTATAAATTAAAAGACTAATATATAAACAATTTGTTCAAGTCTCAGGTCTTTGTGGCCCACAGTTTCTAAGTTATTTGCCGAAACGTTTCACGCACTTTTGTAAAGCTTTGTATGGAGACGCCATATTGGTGTACCGTTTTGGTGCACCAATATGGCCGCCGGAAATCAACAAAAACATCTGGAGTTCACTTTTTCTATAAAAGCTCTTTCTTTTCACTCCAGAACTACGTACGCATTGACATATCTTCTAATACTTGAAATGGTTATACTGCTGAAAATTAAAAGGAGAGACTTTTTTTCAACGAGACAGCATTCCTATTTTGGTGTCACGCACTGTGAAAACTCGGAAGTTCAAATTGCTGTATTTTGAAATGGAACATGCTACTGGAATGGAATCTTGTACAGAGATTTATTTTTTGTTTATCTTCAACCTAGTGAAAATAAGAATTCGTAAAACCTCGCAATTTGGACTTTACAATTTGATGACGTCACTGTGAAAACCATCTATAGGTGGTTTTCACGTTACGTCATCGCCGCCGTGCAGGTGGACAGTGAACAAAAGATTGCTCAGAAGGTCGTTTTGTTTGTCCACCAGCATTTGTTCATTTCACCATTGTTATTTGTGTCTGCTGAGATTGGATGAAAACCACCTATAGGAATTTAATAGGCTAATTAAGCCACATTCTCGTGGTAGATTCATTTGCAACCGTTGCATTTCCCCGCTGGAATTTTCAGTTTTATTTTCTTTCAGCTTGAAAACAATAGCAAATTCCAACAGGCAAATACGACGTCCATGCGCGGATTCTGTAAATAAATTCGTTAGGCTTATTAGCCGAATTAATTCCTATTTGGCTTTTCCTTTTTTTCATTTTTCTATGACAACGTTTTTGCAATTAGCTGTATGTGAATTGCAGTAAAATGAAATTGAATACTGAACTGAAATTCAGCCAGCATTATGCTGGAAGAGATCTCAAAACGGAGACATCTGTTAGTCATCAGCAAAACAAACATTATTTTACGTAGTTTAACATAATCTTGGACAAAGTAGACAGGAAACTTAGACCCTCCCCTCCCTAAATCAAGGATGGGCAAATGGCGTGATTTCGCGACGTACTCGCGGCTTCATCCTTAATTTCGGGGAGATAGGGCTTGGAGTGGGGTTGCCATTCCATTTAAGTCTGCCTAAGATTGTAGGTAGGTGAAAAATAAAGTTTAATGCTACTTCATAAACTGTTACCTGGTGGGTGAAACAGTCTAATTAAAGAATGGACGTCCGAATGAAAACATTCAAAAGAAATATTTATCTTCTTGTCACTGTGTATCCTGATGTATATTAAACGTCTTGCACATTTATCGCGTACCGACGGACACAGTGTTAGAGGGGACCGATTTCTCACTCTCTCCGCCGACATCTTCGCAGATGGTAGGTTACTGAATCTCTATATAACCTATCCCAGTCGAGTATCAAAGACAAGCAAGATGTCATAATAGATATCATAATGATCTCTGCGATCTTGAGACAAGTTATTCCCCATTTTCGTCCTTTTCCTCACAGTATCGTAAATCCTTCTGCCCAAACAGGAGAACACAGGAAAGAACAAAAACAACATACACTTTATGATGGACTTAATGAGCTTTTTATCAGACGAGGAATGGGAAACAGTGGCAGAACCGTTAATGGAGGGTAAGGCCAATATTTGTTCCCGAACCGCCTTTCACAGGGGAGGGGAGGGGGAAATCCCAACAAATCATGTCTTACCCCAGGGGTAGAAGATAACACAGCGGTAACGTGGCCGAGCGGTCAAAGTGCTGGACTTGTAATCCAGAGGCTCCGAGTTCAAGTCTCGTCCTGGGCCCAGTTGCTCGAAGCATGGTTAGCGTTAACCAGCGTTTAATACCTTGACAACGCATTGGTTTTGATACTGCTTAACCAATGGTTAAGGCTAACCATGCTTTGAGTAACTCAGCCCTGATCGCTAACTGGATTTGGATTAATTCTCGGTTGTCCCGAGTTCCATTCCTGGCCACGCCTGTAAAATAGCTGTTTTTGGTTTGCCTCCCACAAGTTGGGATTCTTAACCTTGTTATGTTCCATTTGATTAGTATTTGTTTCAACAATTTCAAGGAGAGCCTTAAGTATATAGTATTATCACTATCACTGTCATTAATATTATTATTATATTATTATTATTATTATTATTATTATTATTATTATTATTATCACTACGAACGACGAGGTTGAGAGAAATAGTAGTATTAAAAGGGTACGAAAACGAGCGTGTTTAAATCCCCCTGTTTTTCCCAGAACCGTACAAGAACCAAGCAACCAATGAACCAACCATAGAGAGGAAGGGGAAGAGGGGGATTCAGGCGGTAGGAACCACAAACAAAATACGGGGTATCCGGAAGTAGAAAATACATACAGGAACTGAGGGGGGCGGTGAATGTCTTGACTCTCCTCTCCAGCTAGCCCTGAAAACAAATATTGTGCTTGGTGCTTTCATTTTTCAGGTTTTGAAGAATTCCAAATTGTTCACCGACACTCTTTAGGTAGCGGAAAGTACAAATATTCAGCCTTACAAATCAAGGATGAAATTCCCTACGAGCTCCACATCAGCGGTGCATCAGAGAAGAGAGACCCTTTGAAGGAAATTCAAATGATAAAACTGCGAGTGGATGATAACACTATCACAGGCATGGATGACAACGGGGACTGTGTTGTTAGAAAGTCTTAAAACTATCATGTTTTACCCACTTATTTTGGTGTGAATTGCCGCCTGTTAATAGTAGCTCGACCAGTCATAAAGGCGGCAGCAGCTAGAACGTAACAAAACTATGATATTTCAGTCTGGACCCTTCCTAGCAAGAAAGCGAAGCCAAATGATCACATCTAGGGTATTGAGGCTGAAAACGTGAACACAACTCTATTTTCTCTCTTCTCTTTCTCATCGTCAATACCCTACGGATGTTACAGTACCACCACTAGGGATCCATAAAAACTTTTTTGAGATAGTTTAAAGAATATGGAATACCTTTCTTACGGTTTTTGTGATCTTTGCCGCCATGTTTGCCTACTGGAGTCAACTGTGTATTCACTGCTCCATCATTAATCTCGTTCCCAGGATTCTCTCTTCGAGGGAGGAAGAGAGAGGACCCTGGGAACGAAAGAATGATGATTTTAAAAAAGGATGATGACGTAACTGATTCATGACTCCTGTGTGACGTCATATTTTCCGCTATTATCGAAAATAAACAATGACGGCCATGTCTTAGCAGTGTTATAGACCTGAATACACCCGAACTACAACAACAAAATAATAGACTTTTATTCAAAAATTTAACATAAGTGGGCTGACCTGCAGGTAGCAACTGCTAACGTATAGGCCGGACAGACAAACAAACAAACAAATTCTGTTATGTAAAGTTTTATTAATGTTAGTGTCCCTTGGGTTGTATTGCAAAGAATTTTAAGAATTTTTTTGTGTAGAAAACTGAGGCAACAATAATTATATCGTTGTTGCAGAGGCACTGTGTTACAATTAAACAAATTAAACATTGCTCTCACTCACAGCACGTAGGGATCTCTCCAGGGTAACATTACCAAACCTTTCTAAAACCAGCTGCCATCATAGATATAAACAAGCCTAAAAAGTGCTGTGAGACTCAAAAGATAAAAAAAAATGTAAAGCCGTGCCGTGCAAATTCTATAGTACAAAAATGACAGTTGTTAAAAAATCTCAAGTACCAAGCCGGAAGCTAAGTTTGTTCATCAGTAATCTTCAAAACGCAATCGTCGCCGTTTTTTATACCAGTGATGTATGACTTTTCATTGATCGAACTCACTGCAAGCTCCACCCGGCGATATCCCTTCAGAGGATCCCTTGTGTCGTTTGCTGGGCCTTCAAGCACGACTGTCCGGGGAGGGCTGTCCTCGTTGTCAGCTTCATAGATGACGTATTTGTAGTTATCGCCACTTTTTTGGGAACGTGAGATTAAGTACTCTTTAAATCCTAACAAGATGAAGGCACCATTTTAAGAGGTTCTGTATATCTCGAAAGGTTCAACACCCTTTTTTTTAAAAAAAAAAAAAAAACGAATACCTTCACTGGGGAACTCCAGAGTCTCCTGCCAATGTTTGTTTGAGAGGGATTGAATCAAACTCATATCCTTTGATTATACGTGGTACCCTGTGCAAAGAATCGAAGTCATATCATGTAAAATATGTTACCTCAAGCCCGTGCGAGGTCTCTTTCCTGGGATATAGACCCAGGCGAAGAGGGGAGGGAATCCGGATTTGAAGTGACAGGGATGATCGAAGGGTTTTTGCGGGGTTGAAATTTTTTATTTAGAGCTTTTTGGGGGTAAGAAAAGTTTTTTCTCTGAAGCCTTCGTGATCTAAAGTAACGACGGGAACTAGGAACGAAAAGTCTAAAGTTTATGACGTATTTTCGTTTCCAGTACCTGACCAAAACACAAACAAATCGAGTTGTTAGTACCCAGGCTTCTCGCGGGTTGAGTTTAGGTTGCGTTCTCCTGACGTCAGACTCAAATACTGTTCAGTTCTCTCCTGTGGTGCTGTTTATTTTGCTTAAACTTCGGGAGATGTAATTGTCTCGTTGTTTTTTTACCTTTTTTTCATTATAACCGTTCCCAGTTAGAAATTAGAACCTTTGAAATACATAAAGATCGTCCGCTTTAATAGAACATAATAGGACTTTTTGAGGAACGAGATTGTATAGTACGATGATGAAGCCCAAACTAAGGCTCAAAACCCGTGTTACAAAAAGAAAGAAAAAAGTGATACGGCAGTTTATTGTCTTAGTTAGACCGATTTGCGCAGAAAAAAAAACAAAGAGCGGCAGCTGTTGTTAACATGCAAAACAATTCCCCACAATAACTCAGCGTCTAAATTACAAGTCGGCTTAAAAGCCTGCCCTTTCTAATAACAATGAACCTTGGCCGGGTGATAATGTAAACATGTAAAAGAACAACACCGTCTTCTTCCTGTATCTTAAATCGGCTAACAACGCAAAAAGGAACGTTTCTTTGATGACGTTCTCTCATACAACTCACTTATTAGCAATACATTGGTCGACTTTTTTCTCTGTAAAGTTCTCTTTTAACAACAGACGTTCAGTGAGTTATGTAAATTTTAGAGTGACCTAGAGTGAGTACAAACACGACAGGGGTGGGAGTTTTCGATGTTATCTAGGCATCAAAAGTTAAGACGTTACTTTTTAATTTTTTTTCTCCCAGTAGTAAAGAAGTAGCCTCGTGGTATTGAAACTCACAATATAGACTGAACTTTTCTAACAGGGACATACCTTTTAAAGGATTTGTGACTTATATCAACACTACAGACCATCATTAGTTGCAAAATCACAAAGCGTGAAAAGTTACATGTTATTAAAAACAGTTGTAAAAGGGTCGTATCTGTATCAGATAAACTGAATTCACCCTTTTTAAAACACTGGTCTTTGTAGCAAATGTTTTTAAATTCTCAGGGAAGGTAGTCTTTAAACTGTTTTGATAGGTCTTTTCCTCAAGCGAACCCACAGAAATGTGTCAATCCATTACATAACGTTCAAGGCTTTTTCCGCCGCTTTTAGGGTAAAAAGGTTTTACCATATCCAATGAACCTCAAAATTAAATTAACTGAAAATTGTTTCGGGCGGGATGATTTTCTACATCCAGGTGTCTCTCACAATAATCGAAAACGTTTCCGGAGTTAATTGCCAAATCCACGCAGTTATAATAGGTTTTGTAGTTAAGCATAACGTTCTCAATATTCGTATATAAACAGTTCACTGATTTTGAGTGCATGTCTAGAAACAAAAGCAAAAAGTCATATCCATCATTTCTGTCTTACTGCTGTAAACCTCCTTTCTATTAACTCGGTTAAACAGTAATTAAATTTAAACAGGATTAAAACCCAACAATGGTAGAACAGACTGAATTTCACAGTTATAGCCTTTTAAATATGTTCGCATTGCAACCACATCTAAGCCTGTTTTTGATCACAGCTGACAAAAAAAATCGTGGGGCTTCTGTCCATTCTCTTACAATAAATTCATAACTACAAGTAAGAAGAGTGGCTCACCTTGAACGTTTTTAAGCACAGTTATCTCTCCCTAAAGTTTGCAAACAGCGAACAGCATGAATAACTGACTCAACACATAGCGATGATCAACTTCAAGAATCAAATGAAAGGTTAACGTCAATCAATATATCCCAGCTATTGTTCTCTTCAAGTTATTAAACAGTAAAATATTTAACTTTCTAAAAAGATACCCATAAAAGGGTACATTTATTGACTCAATGAACACAATTACTGTTCGTTGAATTCTGTAGTACGAGTTACGATCTAATCTTTTTTAAGTGCCAAACCTTTCTTGTCAAAATGAGTTTTATTTGCACGAGAATAACATTTAATTTTCAATAATTTTTATATCAAAGACTTAGCTATTAGCCTCGTTTTAAAATGGAGGCTTGGTGGGCCAACTCGAAAATGGCCTATTCTGATTGGTCCGACTTATCAGCGAATCAGCGGGACTTCTTCTACCACGCAGGTTTTTTCGTCTTCAAACCAGATGTTTTTGGGGCTTCGTGACGCATTCTTTACTCACGAATGAAGTTCGTCGGTGGAGAAACTAAAACTATAAACAGAAGAGGTTTTCCAGGTTTTATCTCGAAAGTGGGATTTTTTAACACGTACATCTATGGTCATCTATTGTTTTGGTGTGGACCGCCAAAAACAGAGGTCATACGTAAACGCGTCATAGCTACTCGTGCATGAAATGTTTACAAACCTTAAAGTGTCGGGAATAGACAAAAGCATCGTAAACATGTCCGAGAGTGACCTGGGAACAACAACGTTGTATTCATATCCTTTTCCGATGTAGTGTGAACAGTCGAAAACGATGCTAAAATCCTATTGCCAATAAGCAGGACAAGACAATAAGCAGGGCCTAAGAGATGGGAACGCTGCGGTTCGGAAGTCTCCAAAACGGCAACTTCTTGAATTTTAATAACATCAATAACATTTAATAACATTTGATTTGTAATATTAATTATTAATGTGGTGGATTGAAGATTAATTTGACAAGTTAAGTTTGCTCGTTTATATCATATTCTATGACACAAATAACTTTAATGTTTCCTCATTTTCATTTGTTTTTAGCGGCAAAAAATCCTATGGAATTTAGAATTTATCTCACATTAAAATTAATAAACAATTAAAATCACCACTTTACAGACTTTTCAGAGGAAGGCTGCACGGCAAAAGTTTCATAACCAGCAAAACACATATACGTCGGAAAGTGGTGCAGTTTTTGAAGGAATCTTATAACCGAGGTTTTATCAGCGAATTTAAATAGTTTGACATTAGGAAACACCCCTCTGTAACAGACCCAGTGAGTCCCTACCCAGTGGTTTAATTCAGTCTATCCAGTGATAATTTAGCCTCTCCGATAACTGATGAATAGTTTGTTTCTGCCCGGCTAAATTTTTGCTTCCCCAGACACTTTCTACTAAACTTGAAAAGTATAAAACATTGTTACCATTGACAAAGGAAATCGGGGGGAACAGGTGATCGATCTCGCATAAAAGAAGTGTAAATCTTTTAGTTCTTCTCGCTAGAGAAATATGTATAACGTTTTCAAAGGCCGTTCATACCCGCGGTAAAGATGTAAGGCCTGCCACCCCTATTAGCTTTAATAGGAGATACACAACTACAGAAAAAACCCCAGTGGAAAATAAACCAAACCGGTGACGTTGTCTCCGACAACCCGGTCAAGATATAGATTCCCCTGGATCTGTTACAGAGGGGTGTTAGGAACAATAACACAATGTTTATATCCGCTGGGATTCACAAAAATAACAATTTGTTGGAATGCATGATAAACATAGAAACACAATCAAAGAATGATGAACGTTTTTTTTTTCGTCCTTTTTTAAAGGTGTTCAGCTTGATCACGTTCACGAGATTTTTTCTGTTTCCTTTGCTCCCGCTTCTTATGTTTATGCCCTCTCTTCTCTCCAGTTTTCGCCGACGGGTTGACTTCACAATAGTACCCTCCCAACCTTGATGTAGATTCTGCTGGACACTCCACACACTCACTGGTAACCAGAGACGAGTGATAAGTGTTGTCTTGACAACATACGTCTTGTTCATCCACCGGGTTCACAGACCTCAGGTTTTTGGGCGACTTGCGAGGGGTCATTCGAAGTGTTAGCTTAGCAATGAAGTACAGGTCAGTGGCTGAGTTAGGAGCCAGCCACTCCGCCTCGATCTCTCCTGACTGTACTGTGTACGTGATCTTCCACCTGGACAATGTTGTGGGAAGAAGACAGTCGCCTGCCACTTTAGATGACGTATGACAAATCTTTGGCAGGTTGTTACACAGACTGTATGGATTGGGGATTTCCCTTGAGCAAGTTGACTTTCGATAACCTTCTTGGTACACTGTCACGTAAGAGGTTTGTTTCTCTGGCAATAAATAACGCACTGAATTTGCTTCATCTGTAGAAATGTAGCTACCTGCGTCTGGATCGGCTGACACAACTATACGGGTTGATGTCTGGACTTTTTCTGCACCATTTTTATCATGCTCTTTGTTAGAGAGAAACAGCTGAAAGTTCTCAACGTAAGGAGCATGGGGCTCGCCCATCAAGCTCCAGTGAAATTTGTAAAGCCACTTTTTATCTCGAGTTTAAATGAGGCAGTTTTTTCTTCAGCTAACTTCTGAATGTTGATGAAACCCGTATCTCCGTCTGACTGTGGTTTTGAGGGGATGAATACGGTACGCTCAATCCAGATGTACGTTTTATGGTCTGTAAACGCCACGAGTTTATCCAGGCCGTTGTTCGTGAAGAGACCCGTGTCTGGTAAACAGACCTGGACTCTTTCTCCCTCATTCAAGTACTCAATTTTATCACAATATAGCCAGGCTTGAGACTGAATAAATATCTGGGACATAAGAAATCCTCCAAACAGTTCGTGAGCCTTGAATAAATCGTTTTGTTGCTCTCCAATGGAAGCAGCCAGCTTATTAGCTAGGTTACTTCTCACTATTCTGGCCAGAATGTCCACCAACTCAAACTGAAAATCGAAAATGTTTTCTCTTAAGGCATTGAACTCGGCAATTGTTCCTTCTAAATTCTCACACAACAAGAACCCGTGGGCTATAGCCTTTCCGGCGGCCGCCAATATTCCACCGACATCGTTCAACAGATCACAAGCTGAATCCTTCAGCGCTCCCTACATGGCAATGTTTTGTTCCATGCGGTGCCGGTCTACTTTAGGGGTGTAGGCAGCATACTGTTCGACAAACCCTTCGGCGTTGTATCCAACATTTTCTGAATGGCTGTCCTTGATACTGTCGACTACTTTAATCAAGTTTGTTATTTGTTCTTTGTTATCTTTCAGGCAAAGAGCAATCTCCATTGTATCGTCCTTAACGTCGAATAACTTTGCAATAAGTGCCCCTCCGTGTACGAGATCTGCTGCCAAGTCAGCGACAACTTTTGTTTGATCTCGCACTCCCTTTTCATCTACACCACTGAATATGGCTTTTAAAGGATTTGCCTCTGCCGCTATTTTTGTACCCAACGCTACGGTCTCCTCAGCCAACTCAATACCCAGTAGTGTCTCCATAGCAATCATTGTATCTCTAAGGTCAGTGTGTACCTTTTCTTGAAGTCTGGTAAATTCTGTTTCAAAGCTTGTAAGTTTGCCATTTATGAAGTCTTTGTCGGCGTTTGCAATCCCTTTTTCATACTGAGCGATTCCTTTGAAATAAGAAGAAATTCCTTGGATGTGAACTTGTAGGTTGCTATCCAGCTGATTTATGGCGCTTAACAACTCGGTGTGTTTAATGGTATCCTGTTTCAGTCCAATCAGTTTAGCATGGTCAACATTCTCGTGAAGTGTAAGATCTCTCGTAAATCCTAGGTGTCCCGGTTGAAGTCTTTGTTCCCTCATTTTTTTCAGCAGCAAGTAATGTGGTCGAATTGTCAAAAACTGGCAGGCTGCTTCCGCTTCGATTTCATCACATGCAAATCTAGCATCTGAAAAGGTGTTTTCGTTTTCGCTAATACTCCGCATGGCTTCATCTATTCGAGAGTACGCCCTCCTTCTAACAGCATCTCTATAAAAGGCTTCAAAAGGTCTACTTTCTGGCATCATGTTGACAAATGCGTTCATCCATTTCACTTGTATGGGAATGCTTTTAAATTGGTCAACCATTTCGCATCCACTGTAAGAACCCCTGGGGCACCTGTCGGGACCACAAAATACATCTACCATGGTAAAACCGAGCTTGTAAAAGAACAGCTCGACCATTAGTGGAATAGCTTTGGTCACATCGCATTTGTCGTCATCGGTGCAGGCATTTTTCTCACTTGAATGGACTGAGCCAGAACATCTCGACAAAGTCGGACAAACATCCTTGATTGAGAGGGGAATGACTTCTCGGGGTGGTAACTCATTACATGCTATTGTTGTAGGGAAGCTTTTCCAGTGGGTCCATTGTGAATCTGTAGTGGGTCGAGTCGCGGTATCATGTAATCCATGTTTCACGAGGTTTGCCATAAAGGTTCCTAACGTGAATTTGGTTTTAACAGAAGGGAAAGCATCCAAACCGAATGTTGTCAATTTTGACTACACACAGTTTTTGAGTTTATTAGCTAACTCCAAAGCCTTATCAGCATCAACAAGCGGTATGTACGAAAGAAAACTTCTTATCCATCCACTTTCAAAAGCAGGCGTGATAACATCTGCAGTGCCTTCAGTGATGTGTTGTAAGCATTCAGGTGGGATGCTTGCTTCTCTAGGTTGGCATTTCTCAGGAATAGAATCTAAAAATTTAGTAACCTTGCCGAACCATTCTGCTTTACCAGCATGTCTATAAGGGGAAACCCGAGTGAACATGGTCAAAAGCACAACGATGTGTAAAGATCGCATCTCGCCACAGAAATTTCTATGTAATCAAAACGGCGGGACTGTCGCTTTTAACCCCTCAATCAATATGGTCTAGTCCAAGAAGATTAAAAAGAAGTTTTCCCAAAAGGATTACCTCAGAAGTGATGTAATCACCACCACAGGTTGGGAAAATTCTTCTAGTATTAGCAATACTCTCAAATGAATGACACAAGCTTCTTTACTCTCTCTCTCAGCACCTCGCTTCACAGCCAGGGGGTGATTTGCTATTGCATACTTCATCGTCCTTTTCCTTTTTGAGATCATTTCTTTGCTACCAAATTTTCGAAATCAGGCAAGGAAGCTCGCAAAACCCCGTAAATTTAACCTGGCTGCCTTTCCTTCGGATAAATAGCTGTAAATGCAGTTCTTGAGTTAAAAAAGAAAAGTTCTGTTACGCCGGCCAAAAAATAACAAACGTACTTACAGGACTCCGTTAACTCGATACTCTCTCTAACTCTAACAAAACCTCATTTTCCCAGGATTTGGCCCTTTCTGTCAGCCTTGATCAGCTTTATCGGACACCTATTTATCAAGTTTGGGGGAATTCTACCGCGTTTTAAATTCAAGGAAGTGTAAGATAAGGTCTTATAATTTGAGCAATAATTTCCAAAGGAAACGTTCTTATCAGAAAACCTTATAAATCAAGCCGTTTTTTACCTTGGTGACTGTAGACAAAGAATAAATCCGCGATTCCTTATTAATGATTCCCAGCATATCTTGAATGGGGTTCTCCAATAACTTGAAGGATTCTATTGTTTTCCTTATAAGTACGAGTTAGCGGAAGTTAAGAAAGACACAAAAGCTTTTTTCTGAATCCTGGATATATGGTAAAAGATACATCTTGACAACTTTTATATCACCGCAGAAGCAAGATAAATTATCATAGCTTATTAAACAACGAAAAGTCTGCCGTTGTCCATTCACGCACATGCGTGCGAATGGCAGCTCTCGATGGGGGTTATCAGTGGGGGCAGGTCTCGGTCGCCAGTTCTGCTATATTTTCAAGAATTATTTGTTTCTAATTATCTGAGTGGAGTGCCTGTAAACTAGCTGGATAAGCTGAGCGCACTTTCCACTATAAACAAGCCTTAAACTTTAAACCTTCAGAACCTTAAGCGATGATTGGTGGCAAGCCATTCGTGTTAAACCTCGCGAGAGATGCTTCATGACCCAAAAAACACTAGTACCAAACAAATAAAGAATATTTGATGCAACTCGAAGGTCAATTTGATAAATCTTTTGCAAGTGTAATTAACAAGTATAGCTATTGATTTAGGGACTGAAAACAATAGCTACACTTGTAAAATACACTTGGAAAAGGATTGCTAAATTGACTCCTGATTTACTTAGTACAAACAGTCTAGGTAAAAATGGGCGTATAACCAATTAGAATATTTCCTCTCGAGAGAGGAAAAACTTGCGGTAATTCAACTAACGTAAAGTTAGAACAGTGAAAATTTATCAGGGTCTGTCAACCATAAAAACGGATAATCAGATCTATAAACCGGTGCATTCCATTAGAATTAATAGTGATCTGAGGTTTAAAATCATGTTTACATAAAACAGAAAACGTCCACTTGTACCACGCGACCGCGTTTATCTTCTACCTATACCGTGTACTGTTCATTATATGACGTACACAAAAATATCAAGCAGTTTCAAGTTAGGCTCACTCGCTCATAAGGGGTATTTATTGCTGTGGTACTGTTTATTATGCTGTACAAGGAGGTTATAAATTTTGACTCTGCGGAAGAAATCCTCAAGTGTTCAAAAACACTTGTGGAATGCGTCTTAAACAGTTCGTTTCTGTAGTCGTATTCATCACTATTGCACAAGTTTGTGGTAGGTTTTGATACACGTTTACAATGTTGCGGAGCTTCTTAAATACATAAACCTTTCGCTATAAGCTCAATCCAGTTTAGGTCATTTTTTCGCTTTTCAACCTCAATCTTTAACAATCTCCCTTCAAGCATTTCCCTTGATTCGGCACTTTTCACACGAAACTCGTATCCTTCAGTTTTGACTAAGTAAAGATATAAACAAAAAGTCTGAATTTAAATATGTGTGTGTCATTGATTTTAAGAAGCATCTTTAGTCGCTATTCGGGTAATTATTCCATTTTCTACCGAATCACATTGCAGTTCCTTGTCAGAAATTCCATAAATCTAAAAAGAAATAAAAAGAAATATACGAATTTAAAGACACGCTTGGCTAGAAAAGTTGGTCACTATTCGTTTTGTTACACTTTGCAGTTTAGTATATCACTTCATTGTAATTTTGAAATTCAAACTCAATATACTCCTTACACGAACATTGTGATATAAGACAAGACTAGAAGAATTTTTCAGACCAATTCCATTTTAGCACGCGTGCACTCCCCTTACTAAACCTGAAGAAAAAGAGAGACTGCTCGCAGTCTACCCAAAAGCTTGACAGCCATTCCATTCTAAACAAAAATTATAACAAGGGTCATATGCTCAAATGCATCAAGGAAGAAAACTGTGTCAGGAGTTCCTCAACTCAAAAATGCACTGATGTGAACCCCACTAATGTGTCCCTCTTTGCTGACAGTTCATAATAAATATTATGGTTACCTTTCTTATTTTTTCCTGGTCAGAAATAGCAGCTATAGACGATAAAGAAACCAGTGTCCCCTTTATTTGTTTGCTCAGTTCTGAAATCTGGAAAGAAAGCACTTATTTTAACCTCAATAATATAAGAAATTTTATCATCAACAAACTGAAGTTGTGTTGACCTTACCACACAAACAATAATGGTGTTAAAATGTAACAAAGTGTAATCCAGTACTTTTCAGTGCATAGGGAGAAGGAACTGATGATAGTGATGATCATGATGATGATAATGATGACGACGACAGTGATGATGATGATGATGATGATGATGATAGTGATGTTACAAACCTAAATCAAAAGCGAAATCTAGTAGTAGTGGAGTTTGACTGTACGGTCAAATTTAATTTTGAGTTCTGACTACATTTTACAGGTTAATGAAGATAACAACTTAATACTAAACCAGCTTTTTACAGCGCAAACAATTCACTATTCTATAAACACCAGCTGGAGTCCCAAGTCAACAGAGAGATTTGGCAACAAGTTAAAATCAAAACCCAATGTCCATTCAAGTTAAAAATTTCTCAAAGTCAAAAGAAGGAAATGGACAAAAAAGTTTTTTTTGTGCACAACAACTTTTACGGATAACTTGATAAGAAACCATTTAACTTTGTTTGGAGATGAAGAACGATGAGCAACAAATGAAACGAAAACTTTGTCATGTGGTGAAATATCCCCCAAATGACTTCTGATAAAAAGCAAGATTCTCCTTCCAATTTTTGTCTTCTATGTGCTTGTGAATACATATTACAGCATGAGACACCTGGGGCCTTATTTCCTCATCTTTTCAATTCCTATTTGAGTAAATACCTTTTCAATGCCATTTCCTTGAGTTATAATCACCACTAAAATGTCTTTTGTGTTGTCCAGTATCCCAAATTTCTTGAAAGAATCATTAATCTGATGAAAGAAAATTATGTTGGATTAAGGAGACCTAATTTCCTTACTTTCTCTACAACTACCAGTAAGCTATTAGGTTTATTATCATTTTTTTTTTAATATGTGTAAAATAACCAATTTATTTAAACAAAATAGCTCAGAATATGGATTTCCATTATTACGATTATCACTTATTTGTTATAAATTTTTAGTCTTATTTTTTTATTATGCCAAAATATTGGCATAATAAACAAACTCAGTTATTATCTAGACTTTTTATTACATACATTTGTTTTCACACAACTAAAATTCACAAAAAATGCCCAAATTAGCCTCCGGTGGGTACTACCTTAACCAAGAGTGACCAACATCAAGTTTCTCTTAACAATATCACTACATATTTAAAAGAAAAGTTTATGAGAATAAATAAATTAATCACCTAAGGGCAAATGTTTTGATCTTTGAATAAATTATCTCAACTAATAATTCTGTAAGGAAATGTATCGAGATCAGTTGGAGTCAAATGTTTATGTGGATGGCTTCAAAGGTTAAAGGCCATGCATCTGAAAAGACAAAATCTGACCTCAAATAAATGAAACAGTATTAAATATTACTTACATTGCTGGAAGGCGACAAGTTAAAAATAATTTCAGAATGAAGTGTTCTTGTCTTCATTTTTCCTTGTTGAAACAAATAAATAGCCTTGTGCCCAGCTACAACTACATGAAATGGATCAAAAATCTGACAAAAAAAATTAAACCAGTTATTACTAACAGGTAATAAGCTTAAAATCATTTTACTAATTCCTGCAAAAAGTGAAACCTAGAGACCCACGTGACCTTTGTTGGTGTCCACTTGATAGAGACCACTGAATACAGTTTTGTTTGACTAGAAAATTATATGGGATGAAGCATTTAAAGCAAACATTTGTTGTTCTTGAGACAAGGTGTCCACTTAATATGGAGTTCAGAAGCAAAAAGTGCCTCTTGTTCACAAAAAACAGGGTGAAACAGCAAAAAAAGACGTGGACTGGGGGGGGGGGAGGGCACCACCCTTGTCCCTCCTCAGACCCCTGCTCAGCTGACTTGCCGATTTTTTTCACCTTTTTCCCCCACTGTGGTCCCTGGACTCAGAGTATTAAGTTCTCAATGCCTCTAACATTTTTTCCAAAGGAGAGCCAAACAGAAGCGCTGTCTTGTCCCTGGCTTGTCTCCAAAAGTGAGCAAAAGCAGGGGGTTAGATGGAGGAACAGTGAGGTCTTATTCATTCTTTATCCTGGACAAAACTGTGTGAACAGGGCCCTTTAGAGGAGCACACAAGGCTTAGACCTGTATACAGCTATTTCAATAAACAATGTTGGAAAGCCCAAGCGACAAGGCAGCAAAACTTTCATTAAAAAATTCTTAAGGGAGCACTATTCTTCTACTAAAAAACAACAAAGATAAACATTTGTAAGGTTTTATATCATTCGGTGGCACTGACAACCATGAAGGTATGACAAAATTTTAGGAGAATTTTATTATTTTTATATAGCTACCCACATGACTTTGCGGTCCTGTCGGGTAGGCTTGAGGCCTTAAACTCCGACAACTTCATGTAAATAAGCAACAGATCGAAACTGAGTTTGCCAAAGGAATTTCACTCTGCTACCCTCCTAACTAGGCAATTATATGGCCGAGCAGTTAAACACCTCAAACTCTGGATCTGGAGCTCCAGGGTTCAAGCCTTGCCCGTTGCAATTTTCCTTAGACAAGGAACTTTATTCCACTTTGTCTCTCTTCACCCAGGTGTATAAAAGGGTCCCGGCGACATATTGCTGGGGGGGGGTAACTTGTCCAGGGGGGAGTAGCAATACTCCGAGCCCAGGAGGGTACTCCCTTACAAGAGGCTAATAGGGATGTGCCGCTGGATGGGGTCGCATTTTCACGACTGGAGTGACTATAATGGGGTCGCATTTTCAATAGATTTACTAGAATGGGTTGCAGATTTTTGGATTTTTGGAGTAAGCAGGGATTCAAAATGGGAAGATTCTTGGTTAAAAAATCAGAAAGTTGTTGTTTATTAAATTTAACAATAAGCTCGCATTGACCGCATTACATTCCGCCGTTTGAAACCACATTGATAAGGTAGATGCATAAATAGAAAGTTGGGATCGCGAAAATTACATTTTCCAAAAAGTGACTAAGATGGGGTCTATAATTGGCCAAAAAATGGACTATGATGGGGTAGCAAACATTAACCCAAGTACCCCCCCCCCCCCCCCGCCTCCGAGACTCCTAGGCATGCTTCATTCCAAGGGAAACCAGTATAAGCTCCGGCCGTTTTGGGCCTTTGGCTCATGTGTGCCTTTACCTTAACCTTCCCTCCTAACTCCTAAATATGAAACATCAATACATTTGAAAAAACAGCATGCAGAATTTGCGTACACGAGAACTGCTGATCGAGTTATCAGACAGAGGTCGATACATTACCATACTTGCGTTTAAGAGAGCCGCTTCTAATTTTCCGTGCACGATCAGTTCTCGTAGTTCTTTACTATTTGACACATCAGTGAATAAAGCCAGGCTCGCAGTGTAATCTGCATTCTGTTTCATGGTGAATTGAACGATCAGCTCCTGAACGTCCTCCATCTTCTTTACGAATATATTAGTTGGTCAGCGGTCGCATAAACTAGTACCAGTTCTCGTCAGGCCCAGGGGGGGGGGGGGGGGGGGGGA